GACTGAGAAAGGGCACCAAATTACATTTCAGTGGTTTCCCAGTCACTGCGGAATCATCGGCAATGAACGGGCCGATCAAGCTGCCCACTCAGCCCACACAGAAGATCATAAACTGCGACTACCACTTTCTAGGACGGATGCTGCACGAGAGCTCCGCAGACTTGCTCGCCAGCAAACCACATCGCAATGGAATCAGCCGCACTTCAAGCATGCCCGACTGTACTCGCTTGACCCTACGCTAAGTCTTCAAGTCCCGTCGAGGCTTCGCCGAGAAGACCAGACCCTGTTATGTAGGCTGTGGTTGGGCGTTGCGTTTACCAACGCCTACGCTTTGCGCATTGGGATGGCCGACACCGCAGCCTGTGGCCACTGTGGCAAGGAGAAAACCATTCAACATGTTCTTTGTGAGTGCCTAGCGTATAGTAGGCGGCGACTATGCCTTCGCAGGGAACTCAACAAATTAGATGATCAGCCTCTGTCGGAGCAGGAAATTCTGCAGTATCGTCAGGATGCTACTTCACAGAAGAGGGCCCTGAAAGCGCTGCTGCACTTTTTGCGATTGACCGGCCTTGCTGAACGGTTATAGCTGGGACGCCCTTCCTGTGTGTGTTTTCGTTTTTTTATGAGTGCGCGTGCGTTTTTTTTCTCTATCTAACCCCTCTTTCTTGCCCCTACTTCCCCACCCCCAGCGCTGGGTAGCAAACCAGATGCCATTATCTGGTTAACCTCCCGGCCCTTCCTTTCTCACTCTCTCTCTCTTGCTCGAGTGCTTGCTCGGCCGCCGATGTGGGGTGAGGAGGTTCGTCGGCAAAGCCACGCTTCCGAGAGGAGAGGGAGCGTGCCCGGGGAGCTTGTTTTCTTTTTTCTCTTTTTCTTTTGACCTCGCGGCGTCACTCCGGCGTATCGTCGCGGGAATTTGGCGGCGCGCCCTTTTTGAGCGCTCGTTCTGTGACACTCGCACACCGTAGCTTTTCTCTCTTTCTTTCATTTGTGTTCGTTTTCTTTCTCTGTATTTCAGTCTAGTTTTTTGTGTCTCTCTGTAACTGTTGTGCCCTCCTCCTTTCCCTCTTTCTCACCTTAAAATCTGTCATCACTATGATTACGCTTTTCCACACACTTGCTGTACTATACTAGAAAACGCTATGCTGAGCACTTGTGCTTAACTAAAAGGCCTGCATAGACGAGTGTTCCAGACTCTCGCGTTCACAATGTAGGTACGTGGGTTCGTATCTCTTCAAGCAAAAGAATTTTCCCCAAGAATTTACCTCTTTTTCTATCTTTATTTCACTTTCTTTTTTTCGGTCTGGGTATCTGTGGTTCAACAGAGTACATGATTGAAGCAAGATCTGTGAGAGGAAGAGTACAGGGGGTACTCAACCATATATATTTCGGCATATATATAGCATGGCTGAAGATACCAATAATATCTTCTATGGATATTTCAGGTATGAAAAATCACATACAAAACGAAGGACGTTTCTTGAAGTTACTAGGCATAGCAAACTTTGTGAGTCTCGTTGCAGAGACGTACGCAGACGTCCCCAATAAAGAGTTAATGGGACCTCGTGTGATAAAAATGCAACCGGATCCGCATACGCAACTGGAACCTTGCAGTGACATATACACCTTAAATTAAATGAAATCCGTGAATAAAACTCGAATACAAGCCAGCAGATTTAGACAAATCGGACTCACTAATGAAGAGTCAGATAGGCTGTTCAGTATAACGACTGCTGCTGGAAAATGTGGTCGTTTGCGTAAAACTGCGTTGACTGCCGGAAATTTCTGCTTACGAAAATAGCCTAAACTCATATACTCGAATTGAAAAGGGCCAACTAAAAGACAATGATGCGATTTTCACACGTCGTGTATCTATGCACAAAAGGGAGTATGAGTCACTATCAGAATGCTCAGTTATGGTTATAAAAGATACGGAATACAAATCGATGTGACAAATGGCTAGCATTGTTCGGAAATATATCTTCAGATTTTACACTAATTGGATCTAAATAGCCACTTGATATCAATGCTTTTCCGAGAAGCACTGGTAGTGAGTTTTAAATAATGGGCCGAGTAATGCGCTGGGGCATCGATATCGAGTTCATTGTACGTGGTTACAAAATGACGTCGCTTGACTAATTAAAACCTCTGTTGAATGGTTCTGTTCTGATCATTACATTGCTAGAAAAGTTGGTACTGTTGCCATAAAAAATATTTGAAGAAGAAAAGGCAGGCGCGATCATTTGCATTGAATATTGTTTACGAAAAGTTGACGGAGGTCAAGATATAAATTCATAATTCATGTTTTAAAAAAGCCGGGCGTGAGATAAGCAAGCAGTTTAGCCATATAATCAGGTGCTATCGAATGCCGTATTGAGTTGAACATACATGACATGTAATAAATTGTGATGAGCCCATCTGGGTGCATACTGAAGCGTCCATTCGTACGTCTCCGTAGCATGACGACGTATTTGCTTTCGCAATAAAGAAACAAATACATGAAATACCACAGGACAGGTCTTTTATTTGTTAGTAATTTCTCGCACGAAAATAAATAAATAAAATATGCACGACCTAATACAGCAACTAGTTTTTATTAGGCAAATATCTGAGTGTGCCTGCTGCTGGTGCTACCATACTCCCATATTATATTCCGGAACTTCAGCTAGGTTTTCCGGTGTAAGTGACTCCTAAATGCTTGAGTCCACCTGCAGCATAGCGTCGTGTTGCTAGAGCAACGACATTTGCTGCGGAACAATTCAAAAGAATATTATCGCTGTTATTTCATTGATATTCAAGGGCAAGTTAACGTCCTCGTGTTTCCGGTCTATGCTTATGAGCCTGCAGCACACACTGATGTAGCATGATATCCGGTGTCGTTGACATATACATACATCTGACATTCCTATGTATATATTACATGCTAGTAAATATAGTAAAACACTACGCAGTTATGGCGATAATCCTCAACTTTGGAGGACACTTAAAGCGTTATTTATTTGACTAAGACAAACTACTTTGCGAGCAGTACGAATTTGTGCCATTTAAGAAAGCACAGTCCTATTTGACAAAGTGTGGTGTCATTCCTACGCTCTGAATAAAATTAAGTATTGAACAAACAAACAGCGCGAACATACGAGGACTGGAGAATAAAACGTGAGACAATGGCACTTTTGTTCGTCCTTGAATTTTCTTGCTGTGTACTCCAGCTTGGTCAATTAATTATTCTAGGATGATTTAGTGGTTCGTAAGATTCACGCTGTGATTAGCGTTTTGCAATATCTGAAGTTACTCAAGTGGCGTATTCTTACTCTATAGAGCAAGTTGTAATAGCCCTTCTATAGGTGAGTATGGGAACACCAAAAGGAGCAGCTGCAACAGCTACGCAAAAGGAGCCGCTGGCTCCTTTTGTGTTGTGACCGCGGTTCGACGCAGTAAAGACGGTTCCTAGACAGTCTCCTTCTCTTCCCTGAATGATATGTGGGGTTTAACGTCTCAAAACCACCATATGATTATGAGAGACGCCATAATGGGCGTTCCGGAAATTTCGACCACCTGGGGTTCTTTAACGTGCACCCAAATCTGAGCACACGGGCCTACAACATTCCCGCCTCCATCGGAATTGCAGCAGCCGAAACCGGGATTGATCCCATGACCTGCGGGTCAGCAGCCGAGTACCTTAACCACTAGACCACCGCGGTGGGGCCCGCCTCTTCCCTGGGGCATTCATTGTGGGCTAGCTGTAGCCCATATCCCCACAATTGGCGCCCAACGACAAGCTACTACAGAAGCGGCGACGCAGAAAAACAAGCGGACGTGGAGTCCAAGGCGCGGGAAGCTGCCCCAGCACGGCGACGCTGGAAAGCGGACCCTGAAATGGCGAGAGCGTCGGAAACGAACGGCAAAACATCGAAAATGTTCGCTACCTGAGGTTGGTTGCACCGATGCTCGGTTCAAGCGGGATTTCCTTGACCGGAGTTTCGTGCACAGCTGCAAGGTGTTTGCCGCTTTGCAAATACTTCGCACAGCTGCGAGGTAATTTGGGGAAAATCGCCAACATTCAAATCAAACCGTCTCAGACGAACGCCATTGCTGTGCTGCGGTGAAATTTCCCCGGCGTTGATGCTCACAGCGAATTCTTGGTTCACGCTCTACGTGCGAAACGAAGTCCGCACCCCAATACCATATACGACTAATAAAACAACATTGTATATGCTCTACGCACGCATTGTCACTAATTTGCATGTTCGAGTGAGAATCGTACGGGTGATTCACGGTTAGTCATGCATATGATCCGCCGGTGCTTTACCGACTCATCATCATTCACTTTGTGGATATGCGGAGATTGTTTTTCGTCTACGCATGCAGGTTAATTTTTCCTAAATATCTAACCTATTTGAATTCTTATTCTTTTGTTCGCTAAATAAGTAGGCTTGGCTAAGACAGCAGAAAGAAACGTGATATTTTTATATCTGTATAAATACGGATGCAATTGACGTTATTGTTCTATTTCATTTAAACAAGATATGTTGAAGCTGACGTCCACCGAACTGTTGTAGCAGTACCGATGCAAGGCTGCTGACCCGAAAGTTTTGGTTTCGACCCCGGCCGCGGCCGTCACGTCTTCATGGAGGCGAAATGAAAAGGCCCATGTACTGCCTAATGTACACCAGATAAAAAAAATTCTGAGCTCTACACTACATTGTTCCTCATATTCATATCGTGGTTTTGGGACTTATTATTGGCGTCTTTTCAAGGAGTGCGAGGGCCACCATATACAACTGTAGTTTCATTGAGATCGTATAATATAAGGGCAGTACGTTTACATATCCGTTAAGGTTCGAGTTGAGTGAATAGTAAAGATTGCTTCCGGACAACCTATTCTAACTATGCACCTGCGCAGAAATAAAATATCTAAACCAACGTAATGTTCTGGTGTAGGTGTCATTCATATTAGCCGTAGCAGAGGTCGCCACTTTAAATGCAGATTCATTCGAAGAGAACATTTACTTTGGTGCACTACTCTAACTAATAAATGCTTACAGCGGACGCGAAAACGAAAAGGCACAGCTTGTACACTGACGCGAGGCCCTTGTGATTGTTCTAAAGCAGTTTGAACAATACAGACATAGTCTTAGACTCGCAGAACCAGTCATAGTGACTTTATAAAAAATAGGTGATAGTGAAGAAATTCTAATTTTTAAACCTCCGAACTAATTCTAAAATAGTGTCGAGGAATCAGTGAAATGCCCGTGCTGCTGCTCCGCGCTTATGTCTCCATCGTGGTAATCGGTAAGTACTTGCACAAATAATATTCTTCGATAGACGTTAATTGACATTTTACGCGCAATAGTCCGAAAGAATGATATAATGAAAATATTTTTCTTATCGCCTAAACAACGTAATGTTCAAAAATGGAAGCCTCAGAACGGCGCTACAATTTTCATCTTATCGCAACTTTATGCCCCGCGTTAAGCCGGCGAGAGGAAATTACAAGAAAGTCAATAACAACCAAACGCTAATGCCCAGTTGTTGTGCAGCCGGAAAGTCCCCATGAAAACATACTAATGAGCGTGAAGTAACTCTCGTCGGCAAACTGCGGATTCCACATTAATTCAAGGCACACACAGACAATAAGCTTATCAAGGTGTTTGTGATGGATGACGTGGTCCAATTAACCGCTAAACTGTGACTCCCTCGACTCTATAGAGCGATTGTCGATTGTTCTTAGTTCGTTGGTTTTTTTTTGTTCATGTCATAACGCACAAACTTGAAAAGAGGTCGGCAGTAAACGCAGGCTTGGATACATCAATGGAAGTGGATTTTCTTAAGGCGCTATGCCGTGAAGCGCACGTGCTCGAGGACGAGTTTATTTCACTTCACCGAGTGTGCGATTAGAAAGCGCAAAGACAATAGGTAGAGCTTGTATCGAGGATACATCACGTACTATCACCATAGACGTTATAATCAAGTCATTAATCGGACTATTTTAATATCCACTGCCACACCAAGCTGTCTCACAGCACTCTGCTTCAGTAATATTTATTTGTGGCAATTACAATCTAGGAAATGTTGATTTGTTTTCTTGGAATTTTCCAGTATCTTTAGCTAGACCAAAAATTTCGCACACTTTTTCTTGTGTGTTTTCTCTGCTTAATAAGAATGCGAAAATGCTGCACTGGAATCACGACATACAGTTTTCCGATTGTGCCAAATGGTGATTCCCATTTATAACACGAGGAGTACAGTACTGCTATGAGTTGACACACCGAACCAGTGTGCTATGTGAGATTATTGAGAAAATATGTGCTCTTTCGTCTTATAAAGTATATGTGGTACAATGATGCGCTCAGCTACTGTGGTCTAGAAGTGAAGTATTTAGTATCACTAATGCATAGCGATTGTATTGATCATTGATCGAAAGAAATACTTCGTACCAGGTATTCAAAGAATGACCTTCTTCGTGGACCTGTCCGGCGCATACCCATTCACAAGCAAGCAAGCCGACTCTAGCACAGAGGGTGTTACGGTTTACCCTCAAGTGTACGAAAGCAGACAGGAAAACTTGGAAAAAATGCTGGTTATTGACGGGTACTCTCTTAATCTAAAGAAAGCTTCCGTTCTTGCCGACACAGTCCTTCTGCTAGAAGTAACGGAAAATGGTACTGCCGAACAATACGTAAGTGCAAGCTATCTTTTGAAATATTTTATAATCTGTTTGATTACGTATTGAGACGAGAGTCACGAAGCACAGTGAGAGCCCTCGTGAATTGTTGAAAGGGTTTCGCCATAATACTAGCATAATAATAAAGGGACTTCGCAATCCAGCCGCCATGAAAACAAACAAATGAAAAGAACAAAGAAAGAGACGAAACAACAAACGAACAAAATAAAAGTTGATTTGTGTAATATACACACAGTCTTACGTCTTTCTTGTGGTGTAATGCGCTAACTTTTTATGGAAGAGTTACGGTTTGTTAATGATCTCCCCTACTCGAGCTTCACCTACATATCATCATTATTTCGGGGATGTAGCGTAATTTTTTTTCGTGGCCTCTTGTAACCTGTTTGATCAAAAGTAGGACACAAATAAACTAAGTTTAAAGTTTGCAGCTGTCTCTTTCCGGTCTTTCTGTGTCCTTGTATTCATTTGCGCACAATTGTTTACCTTGAAGCGTGCCTATAAAGGTGTTGAACCAAACTCGAACCCAGACCAAAAACTGCAGGTGAGCTTCTGTTGTGCAGCTACGTTTAATCGCATTCTAAGCCATTGTTGCAAAGTGATCACTTTTAAAATGATTAGAATATCAGTGTTCGAGAACCTAGCTTTATGAAGAAGATTACTCAGCTGCTCTCCCCTTCATACAGTTTTTTTCCTGTTCTGCGGCACGGGTTCATCATCCGCGGCTTCGTCCATGCATTCTACCCCATCCACCCATTCAAGCCAAAAGAGAAAAAAAATTACATCGATGCACAGAAGCACAGGTGTCCCGACATCCTAGCGGCTTCTAAAGATACTGCACACATACCACTGTACGAAAAGCAGCACCTGACGTTTCGATCCTTCAATACACTTGCCTTTACGCCTTGGTCAGGATGCTCTGTGGTATGGCGTCACGGGTTACAGGAAGACAGTTGGTATCTATAAACGTGATTGTTATAATTATATATTGTTCCGTTTATTCGGTAATTATAATTAAGAAAGTTTGGGCTGATAAGCTACCTTATGATGATTCGATACGTGCTCGGTGACCCAGACATGTGTTGCCGGTGGAATAGCATGCGACATATACCCCGTGTCATTCACACTGGAAGAATGGTGAAACCTCCGTTGCTTCATAACAAAAGTGGTCACGTTGAAAACGTTGCTGCCACAAAAGTTATAATATACATTCAGCAATGACTGAAGCTGACGTAGTTGGTACGACATATATGTAAAGCATCAAGCCCCGTCCCTCCCCCCTTTAAAAGAGCGCTATGTGCGCAGGAGTAGCACGAAGCTCCAGGTTTTTTTTAAAGGGAATGTACAGTCAACCAAAACCGCTTGCGGACCTCGCGCACCAATTCCAAACTACCTGTCCGGATGGATGTATGAATGGATGGATGGATGGATGGATGGATGGATGGATGGATGGATGGATGGATGGATGGATGGATGGATGGATGGATGGATGGATGGATGGATGGATGGATGGATGGATGGATGGATGTGGCTGTACCTTTTAAATCGGGCGGCAGCTAACGCCACCTAGCCGTAATACTTAGTGAACTAATCATTAGATTTATCTTTTTTTCCCTCTAAATAGTGAGGTTGAGCATTCGTACTTTGCAGTGAAGGGTTTATTTTCACTCGTGCCTTGACTTTAGCCACCAATCAGATAACCTCCTTCTAGGTAAGTCTGCCCGCTTAAAGTCTATTTTGCCCTCCCTGTCCCTAAACCCAGTGCTTTGAGAAACTCTGCGCCATCATCCTGAACTATAGGGTGAAGCCCTTTACACAACATTATCAAGTGTTCGGCAGTTCTTCTTCCTCTCCACACGCACTGCATACTGTGTCTACCCCTTCGTATTTGGCTCGATATATATTGGTTCGCCACACTGCTGTCCTGGCGTCAAACAGTAGAGAACTACCCCGAGTATTATCATAGATCCTTCCCTGGCGACTTCCTGCTTAAAAGTGCGATAGATCTCTAGTGCGGACTTCTTAATCATGCCAATTCTCCACATGTCGGTCTCCGTTTCCTTCACTTTCTTCTTAACCGATAGTTCTTTTTGGTTTGGCCACCTGCTGTTTTGTGAGTATTTGCCATTCAATTTCCTGGTTCGCTTCCTCCATTTGTATCGACATTCTTCATGTACAAGTAGCTGAAAACCTTCCTAGCCCGAACGCTCTTCCCCCATTTCTCTCAATCGCTTCTCAAATTTTATCTTGCTGCTAGCATCCCTGCCCTCAAATGATGTCCATCCCATATCACCTTGTACTCCCTGATTTGGTGTATTCCCGCGAGCTCCTAAAGCAAGCCTTATACCTATTCCACGTTGCTTAATATCTAATCTTGCTTGAGCTTCTGATCTCATGCACAAGACCGCATTGCCGAACGTAAGCCCAGGAACTATGACGCCTTTCCCTATTCCTCTCACAACATCATACCTATTGTAATTCCACAGTGCCCTATTTTTCATCAGTGCTGCATTCCTGTTACCTTTAGTCGTCACGCATATTTCGTGTTCCCTTGGGTACTCGGTCCCATTGCTTATCCATACGCCCAGATATTTGTATTTATCTGTTATCTCTAGCGTGACCTCCTCAATTCTAAGCTCACTACCTTCATTATTATTGAAAATCATTACTGCAGATTTTTCCTTACTGAATCTAAAATCTAACCTATCTCCCTCATTACCGCAGATGTCCATCAATCTCTGCAAATCCTCCTTGTTGTCAGCCAATAGCACTATATCATCTGCGTCCATTATTGTTGGTAGTGCCTGATCAGTGATTTTTCCTTGTTTGACTAAAGAGAGGTTGAATCCCAGTCAACTTTTCTCTAATTTGGCCTCTAATCCTTGTAGGTACATCATGAATAATAAGGGTGACAGGGGACACCCCTGCCTAAGCCCCCGTTTCACCTCTGCAGGCTTGGATACCTGTTTTTCTCACTTTATAACTACCATGTTACCTTTATAGATATTTTTGAAATATTAGTGACTACATGTTCCACGCCTAGTGTGTCCAGTATTCCCCACAATTCCTCTTGAACCACGCTATCGTACGCTCCCTTGATATCCAAAAATGCTAGCCACAGGGGCATGTGTTTCTTTTCTGCTATTTCGATGCACTGCGTCGCGTCAGTCAGAACAGATTGTCTTCCAACCTCCTTTGTTTCTGAAACCCATTCTGAAGTTCCCCCAGCACCCCATCATCCTCTATCCATGCCTGAAGTCTTCTCTTTATAATCTGCATCGCCAGCCTGTAGACCACTGATGTCACTGTTATAGGACGGCAGTTGTTTATCTCAGCTTTGTCCCCCTTTCCTTTAGAGATCATGCTCATCCTGCTACGTTTTCATCCATAGGGTACTTCACCATCAATTATTAGTTTGCTCACTGCCTCTCTCAAAGCATGCTTAGACTTCGGACCTAATGTCTTTATCAGCATAATTGGAATGCCATCTGGGCCTGTTGATGTACTACTAGGAACCCTTTTCTCAGCCCTTTCCCAATCTCGTTGTGAAAATTGAGCCTTTGCACTACTTGATTCATCCTTGTCTATTGTGGTGCATAAAGCACTTTGTTAAAATTTTTCTGTCACCATTGTTCTTATATATTACAATACCTTCGTCCCCTTCTAGCCTAGCACCTTGGGTGGTAGTTATAAACCTTTGCTTAAGGCTTGTCTCATTTTTTAGGGAGCTTAGATGGTTCCAAAATTTCGCAGCTGCCTTTCTATCTTTTTTATGTACTTCTGCCAGCCACTGAGCTCCCTTTCTTCTAATCTTTTCATTGATCAGAAGGGATGCATCCCTTCTACAGCTTAGAAAGTTTTCCCATTTTCTTTGAACATCATCTGTCGGTTCACCCCGCTGCTTAGCATGTCTGTGTTTCCTAGAGGCTTCCTGACGTTCTGCTATGGCTTTCTTAACTTCCTCATCCCACCAACTTTTGGGTTTGTGTCTTCTTTGCCAGGGTGAGTTGTCACGCGTCTTAGCAAGCTGTAGCTCAAACAGTCTAATTAGGTTCGTGTATGTCCACACTGTTTTATTATCCTCCGTGATTACTTTCTCAATTTGTTTAGTGGCTATTTCAATTAGCCTCTCTGTATAAAAATTTTCTTGTAGTTGCTCATCTTGTCTCCTTCCCACTTTCACTGCTCTTCCAAAACTTAGCTTGATAGGTTTGTGACCACCACAAACGTATCACCCACCTGCGCACCATCTAGCGGTGCGACATCTAACGGCGCGCCATTTGTCCCACGTCCGCACCATCTAGCGGTGCACCATTTGTCCGCACCATCTAGCGGCGCGCCATCTACCGTTGACTGCAGGGCGAGGTCGGAAATGCGTCTTCTTGATATTCACTGGCCTTTCAATTTTCTGCTGCCGCGTAGAGCATTGTTAGATTGAAGTTTTCGCGCTAAGCGCTTTTCTGCAGTATGACCGTCACAGTTCTCCTTTCATAGCAGGATAAAATCTAACTTGGCGTGCCTGAAACGGCATACCATTGTCGAGGTGTCACTTCGTAATAAAGAGTGCGACCGATAAACTGTATGCTCATAGTCTGTTCTCGAAGCAGAAGCACGTAGATGGAGATGCCAAAAAGCGCATCGCATTGGAAAGCGAAGAGTTAAAATTATTTGTACCCAGCCAGAAAAGAGACCGGCCCTGGATTAGGGAGAGATGCTTCTCGTGCTATCGACTACCGCTAACGTAGTGGAAATGTCGCGAAGAGGCTTTTAGCCTAGCACTCGCGCCGTCCGTAAACGTTGTGTTCGATTGTATCCTATATTCATAACGCGTCACCTCGTGAAGTATATATTCTTAAATTGCACACCCTTCAAGCTCTTCAGCGCTGATCAGAGATCTCAAGTAACTAGGGGGCTTGCTAATAATCTTCTGTAAGTGCTTGTGTAACCTTTTTGCCCAAGATACTTTTAGAAGGGGAGGAGGGGGGTCAGACCAACGCACATATATACGTGAAATAAAAGTGTAATATAAATTTCACCTGTTTACACTGAGCCGTACCGCGGTTATAAGATTACTTTTGGGTCACGCGCAGTTGTCAGCCACCACCACCGCTGCCATCTGTAACAACATCGCTCGAAGTTAGAAAAAAAAACAACCCTTGCACCAATGGCACAATGGGGCTTGAACCCTAGTCTGCTGGGATCCTGCCCAGTATTCTAACACTGAGCTACACAGTTTTTTATGGTATTTTTTTCCAACAGCTTCCAACAGCTGGCTACACCGGTGCCTGTGACTTATTGTCACACTTGCCTTAAGCAGGCTTGATTTTGGGGAAGCAATCGCGTTAATACGACCTTATAAAGCGTTTTACAACAGCGAAAGAACAACCAGTCGTCGCACAATGCAAATAGCATAACGAGTGGGCCATCCGATGCTTCGAACCATCACAAAAGCTTGGTCTTGTTCCCCTCTTAACTGTGGCGCATACCCACTTCAGCCACAGTTCCTCATCGTCGTCAGCCACTGCATGGACAATTGGCACAAAATTCCTAGGAAGTGTCTTGAAGATACCACGCTTTTCATAAGAATGACAAAAGATAGCATAGCGGAGGCCTGCCTACTACCCAAAGTTTATTAATAATGCCCTAGTGGGCTACCAAGAAAGTGTCCTTGCAGTAATTACCCACTGAGTGTTTTGAAAAGGCTCTGAAAGGCCGCTGTTATAGCTTTCGCTATGACGGACTGCGCCTACCGAGCAGGCATGGTGCTTTTTGATTCAATGACTATTCACTATTTATTTCAAGCATAAGTGTTCACAGACGTTATGCGCAAGTTCACATGGAAGTTCACAGTCACGTGGAAGTGTTCACACAAGTTTTACGCAGGTTCAAGGCTCCCACTATGAGAGACACTTGTTCGAAGATCCGGACAAGCTGGCATCACTGATTCTCAAGCCGGTAGTTCCAGGAAATTATCACGTCGTGAGTAAAGAATTTTAAGTTACACGCTGTTGCCCCAAGTAGCCCTCATTTTGGCCACTGTAAAGTAGATGTGTTCAACACACCTCGAAATCTTCACTGTTAGCCTGTATCTTGTACAAGCATGCAGGCGCACACAGAGGACTTGACCTCCCTTCTCCTACTCCCCTACTGAAACAAACTCCTGGCTATACATCCGTACATGACAATCTGCTTATACAAGACAGATTTGACAAAGAGGTCATGTAATATTTATATTGGGGAAAGTTCTTGTTAATGCCATCTTTCAGAAATCAACAAATAGATCAACAAAACAAAAAATAAACAAAAAATCAACAAATGGACCAAATTCAATGCAGTAAAATATGCCATGCAACAACTGGGATAGGAAAACCGCTCTTTATTTTTCAGACAGGCATGGTGAATCACACTCACAGAAATGAACCTTGTGAGAATTGGGAACGTACATCACAGAAAAGACTGGCGCACCGAATATCGCGAATCCACGTCGAAACGGGGATTTATGATGTCGTGAATGATGTCGGTAAGCTGCAAGCTTTCTGCTGAATGCACCCTTCTTCCTGGCTTAGTATGTGTGTATGTATGTATGTATGTATGTATGTATGTATGTATGTATGTATGTATGATGTATGTATGTATGTATGTATGTATGTATGTATGTAGTATGTATGTATGTATGTATGTATGTATGTATGTATGTATGTATGTATGTATGTATGTATGTATGTAGTATGTATGTATGTATGTATTATGTATGTATGTATGTATGTATGCTACCTTACCTCACATAACGATCACATGCTTTTAAAACGTGACCTCAATACAATTGAAAAATGATGCACTCTGTGGCTCATGCAAATTAACGCCAAAAAATATAAATTGATGCACGTGTCACTGAAACACTCTCGATGCCCTGCTCCTAGTCTTTGCATTCTCTTCCTATTGAGCTGGTTGATTCATACGGGTACCTCGGGGTTACCATCATTAGCAAGCTCAAATGGTTCGAACATTATCATAATCTTGGTAGCCACCACTAAGATATCTCTGGGATCTATTAGACGGTTCCTATCATCATCACCGCTTTTGATCCGAAAACTTGCATACGATACATTTACACGCACTAAACTGGAAGTCGCATCGGCAATATGGAACCCACATCAAGCGTACCTTGTTGAAATACTTCAAGCTGTCCAAAACCGTGCAGCCCGTTTTATTACATCCAAGTACAACCGTCGGCTAAGTGTCACAAAGATCAAATCATCCCTCGACATTAAATTGTTAGCACTTCGCAAAAAAACCTCTCGCTTATGCCTCTTTCATAAGCTCTATTGTAACTTTCCACACTTACGTGACATGTTTCTTCTCCCGCCAAACCGCACTTTACGCCACCTGTCCCGCTCCCTCAGTCTTTAAAAAATTCAAGGCTCTACCGATTCGTACAACAACTCCTTCTTGCCAATAGCCATTGCAGAATGGAATAGTTTACGTGACAGTGTTGTGATTGTACATCACCCCATCAAATTTTGAAACAAGTTTATTGAGTGATGATGCGTAATGAATTGAGATTTTTGTGTAATTGTGTTTTCATCTTGAGCGCATTATCCTTTACGTGCATTTTGATAATTTCATTGTAAATTTTAGTTTTTTTTGCTTTCTAATGACTGTTTGCATTTTTTCTCTTGTGTATGCTAGCTCCCCCCTTGCGTAATACCCCAACAGGGGCCTTTAAGGGTAAATAAATGATGATGATGAATATGCATGTATGTATGTATGTATGTATGTATGTATGTATGTATGTATGTATGTATGTATGTATGTATGTATGTATGTATGTATGTATGTATGTATGTATGTATGTATGTATGTATGTATGTATGTATGTGTCACTGCTGAGATCAATGACTTTATCACAGAACTGCGTGGGAGCCACTAGGTATGTGTCTTACTTTCTGTACGAAGGACACCAATATGTAACATTTCAAAGTACCTGAATACATGGCCACATGGGCTGTTGAAAGAGAGCTCAGGAAATGTCGTCCCATGACAATTTATTGGAGTTGTGTTTCTTCGATGCTTCTTGCGCGGGCCCGATACTAGAAAAACTGGAGAAATAGCAAAATACTTTGCAAGATGCACTTAATAAATAAATCACCACATGTCCAGGAACTGAATGATGGTGAGTGTTCGAAGCGCGGGTATCTCTTAACCTCTTTGAATCACTTAGAGGAAGCATGTCAAACTTTCCTGTGCGTTTAAAACGGGTAAGTGATAACGTTTTGGTGGGTAGCAGTAGCAGTGCGTAACGCCTTCGGCATTTGGCAGCTGCTTCCCGCACTCTTGCCGCCTCAGTCCGCGAGTCCTTTCAGGACATGTTCACGGCAGCCTTAACGCAAGCACTTCCCGAAATTGTGGTGCAGGTCTCTAACTCAGTCCTTAAAGCCGTGCAGCCCTGGGTTATCGCCCAAATTAAAAACACCACTCAGAGCGACTCCCCGCAGGTTAAACGCAAGCCGGCCTCCCGTCAGGCAGCAGAAGAAGGCTTTTCGGGGCCGGCTCCAGGTCCGGACCGGTCCTCTGCACCGTAAATAAATACTAAAAGATGGCTAGCCGATATAATAAACAAGCTAAATATCTACAAAAATGTGAGATTATACAATGGAACTGCAGGGGTTTTAGAGCCTGGAAAAAACGGTCGCACCTCCAGCTCTACTTGCAGTCCCTCGGAAACGTGCCCGCCTTGCTTGCTTTGCAGGAGCCCGGTTTGGACGTTAAATTCTCTGGCTATAGCACTTTCCAGGGGAGGCCCTCGTCATGCATCCTGGTGAACAAGGCATATACCGCGATTCAGATCGATTTATACTTAAGTACTGAACAAGAATACACAATGGTCAGAGTACTGCCTCTCAGACGTCGCGACCAGTCAATACACATCCTAAATATATACAGCCCCGCGCATAAACCCCGCGTAAATTTTAGCGAAATCTTCCTCCGGGCGATCAAGTTCGCAGACAAGGACCCCTTAGTGATCGTGGGAGACTTCAATGCTCCCAGCCTTCACTGGGGCTATCACTACGAGAAGGCCAGAAGACGTAAGCTGGCGGAGCTTATCTCCACCCTTCGCCTCACGCTGCTCACGGATCCGGCGTACCCCACTCGAGTGGGGAACTCGGTAACCCGTGACACGTGTCTGGACCTCTCTCTCGTAAAAAATGCTAAAGATGCTACCTGGGAGAACTCGGACGATTCTCTGGGCAGTGATCACAGCCTTCTCCGGGTCACACTCCTGGAAAAGTCAGCTCATAAAAAATGCGGTCAAGCCAAGTTGACCGATTGGACCCAATTTCGCAATCTGACTATCCCTCTCGTACTATTTTCTGGAGGCTATGCAGAATGGGCTCAACACGTAAACAGCATTCAGAAAAGACTTACTACTACCCTCCAAACCAACGAAGAAATCCTCGCAGTTGACACTCACCTCCTACACTTGTGGGAGGCGCGCCGAAGCTTAACAAAACGTTGGAAAAAGCAGAAGACTAATCGCAAACTACGTATCCGCATAGCCCAACTCACGGAACAGGCTGCAGCGTTTGCTGCCCAACTCTCAGATTCAAATTGGATAGCCCGCTGCGACGCCGCAGCTCGTCAGATGAGCTCGAAGGGGACATGGCGTCTCTTTCGCAGTCTCATAGACCCCTCTCAAACGAGAGGGGAGGCGCAGAAGCAGCTCCGGCGAGCTCTGCAAGGGTACCAAGGCACTCCGGAACAGCTTGCGGATGCTCTGTGCGATAGGTATCTCTGTCGTACGGAGGACCCGCCTGGGCCAGCGTACACGTACTCTGGTAAGCCTAACCACCAACTCTATGCCCGTTTTGAGTTGCATGACCTTAAAGCGGCTTTAGCTAAAATGCACAAGGGTACGGCTCCGGAACTGGACCGCATAACAGTAAAGCTGTTGGCAAACCTCCCTGACACAGCCTATTTCCATTTATTGAAATACATGAACGAGATCTGGGAAGGCCGTGCGCTCCCTTCAGAATGGAAAACGTCACTTGTGACTTTTATCCCCAAAGCAGGCAAGGCCGTGAATACGGAAAATCTGAGGCCCATATCACTGACTTCGTGCGCGGGCAAGCTTATGGAGACGATGGTACGGGATCGCCTTTCCCCATACCTTGAGGGCAAGGGCCTCTTTGCAAACACCATGTTTGGGTTTCGCCCACACATGTCTGCACAGGACGTCCTTCTCCAGCTCCATAGGGCCGTCATACAGCCCATAACTATGCAACACAATGATAAAGCCATCCTCGCCCTTGATCTGAAGGGGGCTTTCGACAATGTTAAACACAGCAGCATCCTGGCTAACTTGAGCTCCACCGATTGCGGGGCTAAGGCCTTTGCTTATGTCAGAGATTTTCTCTCTAAACGCCAGGCACTTCTTCGGATCGAGGACGAGGAATATGGCCCGTACATTATGGGAACACGGTGTACCCCACAGGGAGCAGTGTTATCACCGCTCCTTTTCAACACTGCTATGATGCGCCTTCCAAGCGAATTGGCCAGGGTGGAACGCACACAGCAAGCAGTATATGCCGACGATATTACAATCTGGACCACTGAAGGGAGCCTTGGTGAAATGCAGGAACGCCTTCAGCAGGCCGCATCCATAGTCGAGGCGTATGCCAACGATTGTGGACTCCAATGTGCTCCAAACAAATCAGAGCTTCTGCACGTTAGAGCGAAGCCAAGAGATAAGTCAGCCATACACATCTCGCTGTCTGGGGTTCCCATCAGAGAGGTGGAGGAGCTCCGGATTCTGGGCCTGTTCATTCACCACAGACTCAGACCAGACTCCACTATAGCGAAACTCAAGAGAATAGGCGAACAGGTAGGGCGCATGATCCACCGCGTTTCCAACAAGCGGGGTGGTCTGCGGGGCCGGGACGCGCTTCGGCTCGCCCATGCCTTCATGACTAGCCGGATCCTCTACGCCGTCCCATATCTTCGCACTAACAAGCAAGAAGACGAAAGAATAGATGCCATCATTCGTAAGGCTACTAAACGAGCTCTGGATCTCCCGGTGGCCACTTCCAACGCCAAACTGAGGGTGCTAGGTGTGCTCAACCCCTACCAGGAGTTGCGGGAGGCCCACCTTATGAATCAATATACGTGGCTCGTGCAGACGGCTCCCGGGCGCCGCCTGCTAAACCGCTTACATATACAACACACTTGCACTGCAGAGGAGGCGGAGCATATTCCGGAACTGTGGCGGCATACGCTCTCGGTCTCTCCATTCCCCAGTAACATGAATAAGCACACGCACGAAAGCAGAAGACAGGCGCGGGCTCGGACGCTTGAGAGGCAACACGGCTCCCGACCTGGTGTATTTTACGTAGATATAGCAGGGCCTTCGCCCACGGGGATTTTACACGGCCTCTGTAGTTCACCGGGAAAAGCATGTCAATGGGCACTCGTTCCGAGCACAAAATCCAGAGCGCGCTGAGGAAGTCGCGATAGCGGCTTGCT